TTTTTTTTTTTTTTTTAGTATGTCTTTTTGATTTTAGAGAGAGGAAGGGAGAGGGAGAGAGAGAGAGATAGAAACATCAATGATGAGAGAGTCCTCATTGATCAGCTGCCTCCTGCACGCCCCCTACTGGGGATCGAGCCCGCAACCTGGGCATGTGCCCTGACTGGGAATCGAACCGTGATCTCCTGGATCCTAGGTCGATGCTCAACCTCTGAGCCACACCTGGCTGGGCAGCTTTATATTCTTAATGTGTCTCCTATAATATTTAAGAGTCTTCTCACAGCCAGAGGCACACTTTCAGGATGTAGAGGAGCCCTCGTCCCCACAGAACTCAGAAAATGACCCAGTATGAACTCTGTCTCAGGTGGCAGAACTTTTGCTTCCCAACCCCTGACAGGCTGTCTGGTTTTTGCTCCACAGACAATTGTCCCGGTTCAATATGAGACAAGAATGGCCTGTGGGCTAGTCAAAGGACATGCCTACTCCGTCACTGGGCTGGAGGAGGTGAGCCTGGCAGGGCTTTGTGGGATGGAACTTGAGCTATTTGGGTTAAGCTCCTGAAGTCAGACTTTAGCTTTCTGTGTCCCTTTGTAGCTACAATGCTTGCCTCCAATCAGAGGATCTGCTCAAGGCTCAGGCCAAAAACTTGGGGATGGAGGGGACCACTGGGACTCACAGAAGTGAATCTTGCCACAAGATGGTGCTCAGTTGATCTTTCTTTTTAGTGCAAAGATAGCCATTTTCCCCAAATTTCCAAGGAACAAATATATATCACTTTGGTTTTATGAAGTTGATTTCACGGCTTCTCATGCTTCCTGTTTTCCGGGACATCTGGCCTTTACTGGGTCACATCAGAGACAGGAACCTTGTCTGACTCACTGTGCATATTTAGTCAGGTTATGCCACAGGGAGGGACAGAGAGGGGCCATCATCTGGAGCAGCACACACAGCGGACTGGAGGCAGGGCACCTTTTTCTGATTGGTCCATCTAGAGGGGACATTTGTCTGTAATTCCTCAGCCAACAGGGGCGTTTTTCCTAATTCACACAGATATATAATGTGCTAGTGGGACCCTACAGTATATGCCCTGCCTCCTCCCCCAAAGCTCATAAGAGCCGGATGCTCACTGGGGAAGTCACTTCTGAGAAGATGTGAGGTGACGGCCAAGCTCTGACTCCCGAGGACTCAGTCCTGAGGTTCTGACCCCTCACCCTGCCATTCCACAGGGAGCTTCTGGTTAGTCTCCTTGACCAGGACCAGGCAGGACAGCCCCAGTACGGGATTCTCTCCCCATCCCTATCCCAGCCCTCAGAGNATTCCACAGGGAGCTTCTGGTTAGTCTCCTTGACCAGGACCAGGCAGGACAGCCCCAGTACGGGATTCTCTCCCCATCCCTATCCCAAGACAGAAGACCCCCTTTCCATAAAGGTTCCATAACGAAGCGTGAGAGCATTTTCTCTTTTGCCCAAGACCCTGTTCAAAGATGAGAAGGTGAAGTTGGTGCGGCTGCGGAACCCCTGGGGGCAGGTGGAGTGGACCGGCTCCTGGAGTGATGGGTAGGTGAGGGGACCCTATGAGTAGGAACAACAGGGCCTAGGGCAAGGCTGGGTTGGGAACAAAGCCACCAGAGTACTACAGATACTTGGTCTAAAATTACCTTCCACCCGGCCAGGTGGCTCAGTTGGTTGGAGCGTTGTCCATACACCAAAAGGTTAAGGGTTTGATCCCCGTTTAGGGCACGTACAGGAGACAACCGATAGATGTTTCTCTTTCACATCGATGTTTCCTCCCCCCCCATCCCTCTCTCTCTAAAAAATAATCAATAAAGACATATCCTCAGGTGAGGAATAATAATAATAATGATAATAAATAAAATAAAATTCTCTTCAAAACCAATGATCCATAGAAGAGAAGAGGGGATATAGGCTCCAGAAAAGGGCTAGGAGATTAGCCAGGAGAGCATGGGAGCCAGAGAGCTAGCTGATGGCCATTGGTTGGAAAGGAAAGATTCTAGAAGCATGGGTTAGGTCCAGGTAGGAGGGGCATCTTAATGCAGGGGTCCAGACTAGACAAGTGACTCCCCTTCTCAGAGTCCGTTGCCTTATCTATAAAATGGGAACAATATTGGCTCTTCCCTGGTGGCTGTCAGGAGGAGAAAATGTGTTTGTGACTGGAGAGTACTCAGCCAGCCTAAGATTTCCTCTCCCTCACTGTCCCCATAGAAAGGCACACAGCCCTTGGAAAGAACTTTACTGATTATCGCTGAGAGCAATAGACTGGGGGCAGCAAAATTTACAAACATAGGAAACTTATGACAAAGTCTCCAGAACATGTCCAGACCTTTATGGTCCCACCCTAGCCACTGGCTGCCTTACGGAATGGGGGCTGCTCCGTGTGCCCCTCTGTTACCCCAAGAGGGAAGAGTAGGACTCAGCAGCTGAGGACCATGCCCAGGCTGCGTGTGCCCTTCAACCCCAGTGCTTACCTCAACAACCTCTCATCCCAGGGCACCGTAATTACCGGTTTATTCAGCCATTTGCTTACTTAGCAAGTATTTATTGAGCACCTACTGAAGAGCAGGCACAGGTCTGAGCACTAGGGATATTCCTCCCTCGAGAGACTGTGATAGGTGCTGGTCCTTGTCTCCTACTGTTTCCTTCACTCATTCACAGGACAAAACCTTACTTCCTCAGGGCTGAGTGTATGTCGGGCACCATGCTACTGTCTAGGGGCTTAGAAATGAACACAGAGCCACAGGCCCTGCCCCTGTAGACTTTAAGGTCCAGTGGGAAGGACAAACACTGATAATAATTGAGATAAGTGCCATGGGTAGGGTCACAAAGAGAGATTCCCTCTCCTAGCTTGGGTAGGATGGGAAGGTACCAGAAGGCTGCTGAACAGAGTGGCATTTGAACTAGGCTGTATGTTCTAGGACCTTGGTGCCCCATCAATTGTCTACTCCACTGGCCCAAGTGACCCACAGGGACCCTCGCTGTGTTGTCCAGCCTTAACCTACTTCCTACCAAGGCCTCTACTGCAGGAACTGCTGACAAGTGGGGTTCAGCCCTTGGTCACTCAAGGGGAGACTCCCCTTCCCCACTGCACCCCTCCTTCTGGTCTCAGGACTTCCCATTTCCCTTCCAGAACTCCCTGACTCCAAGTTTAGTTTCATCTTCCTCAGTGTGCTTCATTTCCTCCCTCTTCAGGAGAGAGAGTGTGTGAAACTGCCCAGCTTCTAAAAACACAAGCTGGGCTGTTTCCTGGGCTGGCAGGGAAAAGAAAATGTTTACATGCCTGGTCTTTCTCTTAGTAACTCAGACAGTTATCAGAGGAAGGGGCACTGTTCTATAAGTTTTGCCTGCATTATGTCACATATTGCCCATCACAGCCCTGTGAGTGGGTAATATACAATCATTCCCCTTTTGCAGCTGAGAAAATAGAAGCTGAGCTGATACTGGTATTATTAAATTGGAATCTCAGTTTATTTATTTCCAGCACCCAACTCCTAACCTTTAAAGTGTGAGGAAGGGTAAAAGATTCAACCAGAGAAGGGTCAAGCCCTTATAAACCCACTTAAGGAATTTGGTCTTAATCCTGAGGCTGGTGGAAAGCAATTATTGGGTTTTACAGTGAGGGGATCAGATCAGATTTGTATGTTGATGGCTCCCAGTGGCTGCAATTTGGAGACGGGTTACTCTTTGAACTCCTTTGTATTTCTCTGATACTTCCTATCCCAACCACATTAGCCCTTCCTTTCTTCCTTCCATAATTCCTCTGTTTTCCCTCCAGTTGGAAGGACTGGAGCTTTGTAGACAAAGATGAGAAGGACCGTTTGCAGCACCAGGTCGCTGAGGAAGGAGAGTTCTGGTGAGTCCAGGACTGAGGGAGATGCCAAAGGGTAAGGGATGGGGCAAGAGCTGAAATTTCAAACCCCAATTCCCAGACAGAGGCTCTCGGATTCCAGCCCTTGGGAGACCTGGGCCCTGTTCTCCTCCTCCAGCTGGAGGCCCAGCAAGGATGAGGTTCTGAGAGGAGCCTGCCAGGTCACGGTGATGACCCGGCTAGGAGCCAGGCCAGCTTCACGTGGTTCTGCCTCACCTGTGCCCCTCTCCCATGCATGCTGCTCCAGACACTTGCTCCCCAGCCTTTACAGAGCTGTTTTCTGAGCCTAGAAAGCTCTACTTCTCTGCTCATCCAGTGCCCTCACTTCCACCCAGATCATTTCTACTCAGCCTTCAAGTCTCAGCTTAAAGGGAACTTTCTTCAGGAACTCTTTGTCTTCCCTAGGACTGGAATGAATTTGTCATACTCGTCGCCCTTAAAATTGTTTGCTTAATTGCCCTTCCCACAACTCTCTCCTATAACCAGCATGGTGGCTAGGCCCAGTGGAGGGTCACACAGTGACTTTTGGGAGAACTGAATTGCTGCTGAGCTCCCTCATCAAGGACACATGGGTTTGAGTCCTTATTGAGAGAGATGATGGTTTAGGGTGGTTATACCAGAATTGACAGTGTTTACCCTAAAAAGGGGAGGACAGTGTCCTGTCTGGGACTGTGACCAAGCTCAGCTGGACTATTTTATTGAACTGTGTTAGCCTTGGAGGCTTACCTTTCCCTCCATACGGGTCTCTCTCTTCTTCCAACCTCTCAGGATGTCCTATGACGATTTCATCTACCATTTCACAAAGCTGGAGATCTGCAACCTCACAGCCGATGCCCTGGAGTCCGACAAGCTCCAGACCTGGACCGTGTCCGTGAACGAGGGCCGCTGGGTGAGGGGCTGCTCTGCTGGAGGCTGCCGCAACTTCCCAGGTGGGAGAAGTTCTGCCTGGGGGAAGGGTCCAAACAGAACAAGCTCCAGGTAGAATAACGTTAACTAGCATTTGCCGAATTTCTACTAAGTCCCAGACATACGTTATCTTATTAAACCCTCCCTATTTTACTGAGAAGGGAACCAGCATGCTGAGGAGTTTGCAATAGAAGGTTGGTAACCACGTTTAAACAGGACATTGTATTAGAATAATACTGTGTTCATAATGCTGGGAATGGGACTAGACGACAGAGTTAGCAGCTACTGCAAGAGTTCAAGCCAGAAATGATGAACTCCTAGGCCAAGTTGGAGGGAAGAGAGCTTAGGGGAAAATATACTGGGTTATGTGGGGAAGGAAGAATGAAGAATGACTTCAAGATTCCCAGTTTGGGGGCGTAAGTGGATGGTGTCAATGTTGCGATATAAGAAACACAGAGAAAAATATTGATGTGTCACTTGTTTTCGGAGGGGTTGGTTGACTATGGGTTTGTAGGGAGGGAAGTTTAGTGAGGGACATGGTTTGAGGCACCTGTACTACATCCAGATGAAGATGTGTAATAGAGACCTGAATGCATAGATAGACTGGTACTCAATATGTATTTGTAGAAGGAAGG